TGTATGTGTATATATATATATATATATATATGTGTATATATATATGTATATGAGGTCACCTGAGCCACTGCAGCTTTGTGTTTCTTCATGAGTTCATTCATGTCCTCCTGATCCTCCTCAAAGCGAGACTGCAGGTCGTTCTTCTCCCTCTGCAGACGACTTATCTGCTCCTCCAACTGAGGGAGACAGAACAGACAGGGTTAAATGAGTACCTTGAATAGTTTTATTAATGGTTTTTGAGGATGAGGAAATGCCACGCAACCTGTCCATGTTGGCATCTGTCTGATTTGGCAGCTTCTACAATGTGACAGATCAACACCACACCAAAATACTGCAGAGTTTGATTGGATGCAGTTTTACATCAACAACAAAATGTTTTCTCAATTCTTAAAAAAAAAAACCTGTTTATTACATATCAAATAGTTGCAATTTATTATTTTTGTTGTTTTTCTCTGCTCTCCATGACCCTAAACTGTCTAGATAACCCAAAAAACATAACTTTTAATAACGGATCACTTCCCATAATATAGTCACAGCAGCCTTCAGTGTTTTAAAACTATGTTTCTGCCATTTTAGTGTAAGATTTTAGAGTAGCATTTCAGAGTGTCTAAAATACTGTCATTACACACAGTAATTGCATATTTCTGGTTGAGGCTGTGACGAGGAGATAATACCCTTAAACTCTTCTATTTGACATCATCTCCTCTTCCTCATAAATAATAAATCAAATGCACACCCCAAGTGTGCCATTTGAGTCCTGAAAGAGCCTGTAATGTGAATGGGGGAAGAATCAGAGAAGAATAGCTGCACTGATTTTCATTTTATCTCCATTCTTTTTGTCGTCACCAAGATAAATTGTGAAGACAAAATCAGAATAGATTTAAGGTATAAAATTCCATGCGAGTCAGGATTTGTGTCAGATTTAACTGTGGGTGGAGCCAGACAGCATGACGCTGCAGGAATAAAAACCAAGCAACTGTCAAAATGTCTTGTCGGCTGTCACAGTCACAGTCGGTTAGGACAAAAACTCAGATAAACATGGAAGAGACAGGATTTAACGCTTTATCGCATCATGCTTGGTTACAATACCATGATTCAGGGTTTCTTTATCTGACTCTGGAGGTTTAAATTTTTCCCTCTGGAATATTTATTCTAAATGTTTTTTTTCCATCAGCCTGACCAGGAAAATGATTGAACTGTAAGCACTTTATTTCTCTTTACCCAGCTGTTTGAATGAATTTTGACACATTTACTGCTCTATTCAACTCAAAAGACGAATTTTGCTTCAAAACTAACATTTTTCTCCCAACGAATCTGGTGAACAAATTGAAATTTTCTAAAGTAGTAAATCACATGTTTTGAATGGCATATTCTATCCTGTGTAAATCTCTAAAAGAGCTGTTGATGACTCGCATAATAATTAACCAAACAATTTCTGCTCAGGAATTAAATGAAACTTGTGAAATATCTGAAAATGTGGGTTAATTCCTCGATATCATAAAGGTCATAAATGTTGTATAAGACCTTTTATTGTTTATAACAAATGAACTGTTGAAACAAAATGAACAAAACTAATAAAACAATCAAACAGTAAACATTCACGCCAAACAATCAGAAAGTAAACGAACAGCTTAAACAAGTAAACAGCAAACAAAAGACGGTAATCAGTAAACAAACATCTTAAACAACTAAAGGACAAACAATAAAGAAAACAAACACTCTAAAAACAAACAAGCAAACAGCAAAGAAAGAGCCCAAACAATCATATATAAATAAATGTACTCTATGTTTGAACAAACATGTTAAAAAACATTCAAACTTGTCCTGTTTATGACCACTGAACTGTTTTCAAATAAAATAGAATATGACTCACAGCCATCTTGGCTTTGGTGATGTCGTCCATCTGGATATGAAGGTCTTCAATTTCCAGCTCCATAGACTTGCGTGCTTTCACTGCGGCTGCGCAGGCAAACTCTGACTCCTCCAACTACACCAGATACAACATACGCTCACATGAAGCAATTAGTCCTTTTCTATTCCCAGTGAGGGACATTAATTGTAATTTCTACTGCTCTGATTGTGATTCTACCTTATTTTTGAGTGCGATGATCTCTCTTTTGCTGGGAACATTACTCTTTAGGTGGTCCAGCATCACCTGCGCATCAACCAGAAGAACTTTTGTGCGCTTCAGATCCTTCCTGAGACGTTTCTCTGTCTCTACATCCCTCTGACCAACCTGTTATATAGTGTAATACTGTGTTATACTTTCTTGAGTATTGTATGCTGTCTGCAATATTTGTGTTCTCTTGTGTTAGTACCTGTTCCTGTGCCATCATCAGTTTGGACTCCAGGTCTCTCTTTTCTCTCAGAACTCTCTGTTTATCTTCATATTCCTCCTCTAACTGCACTTCCATCTGCTTCAGCTACACACACATTTCAAAAGAGCCATTAGGAAACATGGAGGTCTCAAATTGTGTGATTTGATTGTGTTCAGATCCTGTTTGTTCACCTTCTTACTGCAGGACAGTCTGATGTCCTCCACTTCCTCATCTTTACTGTCCAGCTCTTTAGAATGCGTTTGTCTCAATCTCTCCATCTCCATTTCCAAACGGAGTTTAGCCTAAATAACACACAGATCAGATAAGGTTAACTGTTGATAATATCCTCTGAAAAATAAAGTTGGCAGGTTTTGCTTTTCCACCTTTCCGAAATGAACAATGTTATTTTAATAATATTAAAAAATGATTTAAAATAATGATGAAATGACTAAAACCTGAACTAAAATTAAAACTGAAAAATAAAAGCAAATTTGATATATTAATACATACTATAATAACATGTAAATAATATTAAAATAACATTGTTCATTTCGGAAAGGTGGAAAAGCAAAACCTGCCAACTTTATTTTCATCATTTTTTTAAATCATTTTTTAATATTTCTATTTAATTTTTATATTTATTTCAGTTTCAGCTTCTTTTTAGACTCTACTTAAGACTATATTTAAGATTTTCATCTAATTTTACTTTATTTCAGCTTCCATGTTTCCATGAATGAAAATGATTTTTAATAGTTTTAGTTTTAGTTAACAATAACAATGGCTCTGAACAGAACACAGCACAGAGTCACAATCCATCTTTGATTTGGCCGTTTTTTAGCTTGTACCTGTTCCAGCATCTGAATGGTTCCAGCCTGTTCATCAAGCTCCTCCTCTTGATCTTTGACCTTTGCTTCCAGATCACGCAGTTGCTTCTTAACCTTTGCGAGTGATGCCTCGTCTTTTGACTCCTGAGAGGAGAGATCCTGGAGCTCGGATTCCAGCTGCTCTACCTTCAGACTGACCGTACACAGCTCTGTGTCCTTCTCCTGTTTGTTAAATTATGAATTTGTCATTAGCAACCTACCATAGACTTATTATAGAAACCTGAAGTTAAGCGTCTTGCTTAAGGATGCGAGAGAGAGCAACACACACTCTTCTATCTTTAGTCTCACCTGTAGCTGTTGTCTGATTGTAAACACCTCGCCAGTTAGCATATCTCTCTCTCGGCCCAGTTTCTCCCGCTGGTTCCTCTCCTTCTGTAGTTCTTCATGAAACTGGTTCTTCTCCACATCAAACCTGCCAGAAAATTCAGAAGATAGATGGGTTTTGAGACATGTAATTTCAACCACAGTATGACAAGAGCAACATGATAACGTGCTCATAGGCATAAACTGTACACTGAGGTTACTCATGAATTCTCAAGTATGTTGAGATTTAGCTCCAGCTCGAAGTCTGATGTGCTAAGTTTTTAGTTATGAGCAACATCAGCCAAATACTAAACAGACACACACACACACAAATAAAAACAGTCAGCAATAAACAAATCCAACCCCAAGATCAAACAATCAGACAGTAAATAAATAACAAAACACTCAAATAAACAGCCCAAACAATCAGACAGTAAACAAACAGCTTAAACAACAAACAGCAAACAACCAAAAAGTAAAGAAAGAGCTCAAATAGAGATGTAATCATACAATAAACAATAAATTTAAATGTCTAGAAATAACAATGAGTAAACAAACAGCCCAAACTTTAAATGAACAGCCCAGCTAATCAGAAAGTAAACGAACTGACAAAACAACTAAACACTAAACGACAAACAAAAGACAGTAATCAGACAGTAGACGAACAGCTTAAACAACTAAATGATAAACTCAAGACAGTAGTCAGCCAGTAAATGAACAGCCTAAACAGCTTAACTAAACAACAAACTAAAGACAGTAATTAAGTAAACAAACTTAAACAGCAAACAATCAAACATTGAAGAAAGAGCCCAAACAATCATATAGTAATCAAATAACAAATTGTTTACTGTACTGTATTATTGAACGAAATGTATGATTAAACAATGAGTAAAAGAACAGCCCAAACAATAAAGTAAACAAACCACTAAAACAATCAAACAGTAAACAAGCACGTCAAATTATAAACAAACAGCCCAAACAATCAAACAGTAAATATATGGCCCAAACAACCACAGAGTAAACAATAATCAGAAATCTCTATAATCAGACCCCAGCAGGTGACCAGGCAGGAGACTGAAGACACAGACTAAGATGTGTGTGTGTGTATGATTGGCTCTTACTTCCTCTGCTTTCTCTCCAGCTCATGGTTGCGTCCCTCTTGATTTTCCAAGTGCAGTTTGGTGTCTTGCAGCTCAGCTGCCAGCCGCTGGCATTTCTTCTTCAGCTGCTGGACTGATCGCTGGGACTCCTCGTGGTCAGCCTGCAAGTCCGTTAACTACACAGAGAGACAGGAAGGTGAAGTTTATAAAAGTCTAAAGATTCTGAAGTGTTGCTGGTCAACGTCAGAGTATCATTTATTGTAGCAGAGTTTGAATTTGGATACATTTCACACTGTGTGTAGTCTGTTAGCAGTCCTAGTGTGTGTGCACTCTGTGTATGTGTTTATTTACTGTGCTATACTAACTTTTCTCTCCAAGTGTCTCTTGTTCTGTTGTTCTGTCTCCACCTTGTCATCAATCTCCTGCTGGAGTTTTTTCTTTGTGAATTCTGTGTCTCTGATGGCACGATCATATTTCAGCCTCCATTCACCTCCTGACATGCACAAACATACAGAGACAGACAGATTTTTCCTGAGTTGTTTTATTGAGCTGTTTGTGTGTGTGTGTGTGTGTGTAGAGCAGTTTTTGACCAATCCGGTCCTCTTTCCATCCCAGCGGCTATATTCTTATCAAAATAAAGCATTTTTATAATCAGCTTCAAGTGCTCCGCAGAGTTTCTCTCATCTGAAAGCTCTGCCGTCAGCTCTGTGATCTACATAAACACACATATGCTCTTGTTTTTCTAATATGGTGGAGGCTTTCTGCATTTTTATATTTTCATTTAGACATCACTTAATACATTTATTTGTCAATACTTGTGGAGACACTCGGCCTATCTAACTCAAAAATAACACCCTTTGCATTCTTATTTTCTCTCTGGTTTTCTTGAAGGAGCCAAGCAGGACAGCAAAAATGAAAAAAAATAAAATAAAAAGCTTGGTTCTCTTACTCTGCTCTCCACACGATCCGAGGTCAGCCGTAGCTCATTTCTTTCCTTCTCCACCCTCTCCAGCTTCAACTTCAGATGCATGATCTCCTCCTACAAGTCAAAACAAAACATTTATCGCCATCAAAAGACAATACTGAATATTTAGATAAGAACAGGACGATCTTTGGTCTGAGGCTTGTTGAGCTACTATTATATGATCTGATGTTCTTTTGATCAGGCGAGATCTTTCTGCCTTCAGGTGAGTTCAGGAAGGGGCCAGACGGCATTGTTGCATTTCTAAAGCTAATGCTTTGAGCTGGGATTGAGATGTGATGGCAGCAGGAATCAAAGAGAAGTCTCGGCTCTAACGCTGATGCAACAAAAGCCCTCAGATCGTGTCATCTTTTAGGCAAACGCGTCCACACACACACAGATAAACCTTCGAGCTCTACTGTAAACTGACAGAAGCTTTGCATAGCGAGCAAACCAGGGCATGAAATAAAGAGTAAGCTGGAAAGACTCACGTCTTTTCCTCGAATCTGTTCTTCGGTGAGCTGAACCTCTACTAGAGGTCGTACGGCGGTGAAGAGCTTCCACCAGGGCCAGTCCTTCACACCACGATTCTTCTTGATGTTCTTCTGAACACAACGGATGGCCAAATCCTGGATCTGAGAGACAGAGAGATTTGTTTTAGCTTATTTAAAGGGAACGTTTACGTGAAAAACTTTTATGCAGCCCTAGTCTTCATTCATTTTCATTATATTAAATAGAGTGGCCCATATATTCAGCAGCCTTTATGTTTAAGGGTAAAAAAAGCCATAGAGGTTTTGAATGACATGAGGATGAGTTAATGATGACAGAATATTCATTTTGACTGAACTATTCCTTTAATCGTCAGGCTGATGATACAGATCTCCATCTGTGAATGACATGACAGTTGCATTAACAGCGCGGCATGAAATGATTAATGTTCCATTGCGAACACAAACATAAAAGCCACAGTATGACTTTGATATGACATTTTTGAAAAAGTACAGAAAGACTTGCAAACCAAAACTGTAAATCCGATTGGAATTAATTAAATGCACATTATGAAGAATTGAGAGGATTTTATTCAGAGGTCTGACTGCATGCCGTGATCTGAAAGTGTTCAGAGGAGCTTTTATTAATTTGAGATCTTCTAATTCTAGGGAGACTAAACGGGAGAGCACTTAAAGCAGAAGTGTGTTTTTTTTTCCAGCATTAAAATACTTTCTACCATAGTTTAATATGCAGAGACAACGAAGTCATTTGTAGGTTAATTCCCTCAAAACGTGTAAAAAAAACTTATTCTGTGGTGCTTTCAAAACATTTTCAGTTTGTTTGTGCTGCACAACAACAGCAACAATGGCTCAACAAATGGAGTGAGTTTGGGGCAGATCTATTTGTTCGGCTGACCAATGGGAGACGGGTGTAGTTTTTTGTCTGCAGTTCTGCTCGGTGACGCTAGTGTTGCAGAAATTACTAGCTTCAGCTTAAATAAAACCTCGTCACCTTCATAAATGCTCTCTTGCTCAATGCTGTGCATTGATGTATGTGTTTTGCTCTTAAAGTGGACTGATATATTCTACAGTTGAAAAGTTTGGGTAAGTACATTTTTTTTTTTTTTTTAAGGAAATTAATACTTTCATTCAGCAAGGATGCATTGGGTTGACAATAAAGGTGCTGTTTTTTTTAACTTTCTATTCATCTAAGCATTTGACAAAAAATGTATCATGTTTCCACAAAAATATTAATATTAATCAACAATATTAAGAAAAAATCAGCATATGAGAATGAATGAATGGAGTAATAGCTGCTGAAAATTGCTTTGTCATCACAGGAAAAAGTTACATTTTGAAATGTATTAAAATAGACAATTATTTTAAATTGTAATAATATTTCACAATATCACTCGTTTTACTGTATTTTTAATCAAATAAATGCAGCCTAGGTGAGCATAAGAGAAAAAATCTAACAAACAAAAAGAAAACTTACTGATCCCAAACATTTGAACGGTAGTGTAAGAGAAATAAATGTTGAGATTCTGATGGACTGACATTGCAATTTCAGCTCAAGACTGAAGCAAAATGGAAAATGTACTTTACCTTCCTCTTTTTGAAGGCCTGTCGAGACAAAAAGCCCCTGCAGGCGGCCTGGAACAGCGTGATGTTCTGTCTGGTGTGTTCATCCCTCTGTCCCTCTAGTTTAGCCACTGTTCCAGCCCTGAAGAACACCTAACAGACACACACAAACATAGTTGTGACTTGTTTACACACGCCCCTCTTTTTTTTTTTTTTTGGCTCGCCGTGGTTTTCCAGCTGATGGGATTAAACTGTTGAGCGCCAGCGTCTGTTCATACTGATTAGGACGGCATGAAGAACCAGGAAAGACACAAACAAACAAAGCAGCTCACGCCGAGATGAGAGTTTATTGCGTCCAGCCGACGGACCACGCAGTAGTAGACGGAAAAACATACAGATGACATATCATCTGCTGCATACAGTTCAAAGTTTGACTCACCTTCATCCTCTGATGCTTCCGAACTGATAAAATGAATAGTAACTTGTGTGTGTGTGTTACTCACCCTGCTCAGGCCCATGTGATAGCTGCTCTTTTCCAATTCCAAAGACTCCAAAAGCTCCTCTACTGCCTGCAATGACAAACACACTGTCATGTCTAATTCACACAGTGTACATTACAAAAACACTGCTGACCCCTGTGTAGGCCTACTGGACACACACACACACACACACAGGTTATTCTTTGCTGTACAGTCCCCAAACTGTCCAGACGACCATCAGCCCTCACCGTGACACTGACACTGTCTTTCTCATGTGGAAAAGTCTTGAGAACTCGATCTATCTGAAAGGGCCCATCTAGATTACAGCACTATAGGGGGAGCTGGCCCCTGACAACCAAAGGGCCATTGTTCGAATCGCTTCACAAAAACCTTTCCTCAGAGAGACGGTTCTACCTCCCTCTGTCTTTTTCTTTCTCTCTGCGTCTCTCTAGATTTCCAATTTTGCATCGTTTCAACTTCCTCTGGGACTTGAAACGCGACTGACCTTCTCTGCTGTGTCACAAAAAGAGGACGGTCATCTTTCTGTATTCTTTTTACTCTGAAAAGCTGATGGTCAGACTCTAAAATTGACTTTTTTGCTACACCTGTTAATTTACTAGCTGTTAATATTTCAAACTGGCCATGCAACTTTATTTTGCTTTATTTTTCATTAAAATGTTAGGGGCAATGTGATTATTTAGCTGTTTATTATTTACAGCATAGGTTTGTACAAGTCATATCCCTCTGTCTTTTTCTTTCTCTCTGCGTCTCTCTAGATTTCCAATTTTGCATCGTTTCAACTTCCTCTGGGACTTGAAACGCGACTGACCTTCTCTGCTGTGTCACAAAAAGAGGACGGTCATCTTTCTGTATTCTTTTTACTCTGAAAAGCTGATGGTCAGACTCTAAAATTGACTTTTTTGCTACACCTGTTAATTTACTAGCTGTTAATATTTCAAACTGGCCATGCAACTTTATTTTGCTTTATTTTTCATTAAAATGTTAGGGGCAATGTGATTATTTAGCTGTTTATTATTTACAGCATAGGTTTGTACAAGTCATAAACATGTTAATTTCTGCCTCAGAGTAAAAAATAAAATATAATAGTGAATTTATTTCTTGTGAATCTCCCAATGATTTTATATTTCACAATATGACTTTGTCTCACAATTGACTTCATTTCTCATAATTGTGATTTTATATCTCACCATTGTTATATCCTCCAATATGAATTTATATTTCACAATATAACCTTGTATCTCACAATATGACTATATCTCACAATTGCAACCTCATTTATCATAACTGCAATTTTATCGTACAGTTTCTCAAAATATGATTTTTCACAATGTGACTTAACTTCTCATAATTGTGATTCTTATCTTACCATTGCGACTGTATCTCACAATTTGACATATATATCTCCCAATATGACTTTATATCTCACAATTGTGTCTGAATTGGTTATAATTGTGATTTTACAACTCACAATTGCAACTATATCTCATGTTCACAGTATGACTTTATATATATCACAATATGACTATTGTGGCTTCAATCATTTCTCATAATTACAATTTTATGTTATATCTCCCATTATGTAATATGCTACATTTCCTACTTAAGCTTCCATTCAACTCATGAATAACTCTACTTGGCAAAGCTAATTTTTACTTGCATTTGGCACTTGGCGAGTATTAATTTTGGACCCTGTCTGCTGTGTACATGCCACATGTGCAAAGGTTTTGTATATAACTCTCCTTTCCCCTCGGCCAATCACAGGGCCAAAACGAGATTAGGAGACCCCTGGACGGAGACATTTTTCTAGCTGATAATTACAGTACATTTGGGCATTTAGTAAGCACTAAAGCCCAGAGTAATTACTACATTTTTTCTGTCTGTTCTGCAAATTGAATCAAGTCAGAGACCCAGCTGGGGTTTCTTGATTAAGCCATCACAATAGCCCTGATTACCCAGAGTTCATTCTGTCTTGGATTCATGGCACACAAGAGCAAGAGGAGTCCAAATCTTCATTTCAGTCATTTCTAAAGCTTTTGTTCTATTATTTTCATGCTCATTATTCTCTTAAATAGTTACTCACTCGTTTCTCATCCTTCACGATGTAGTTTCGGCCTAGTTTCTTGGTCAGGTGAGGGGCCAAAACGTCAAAGCGTCTTCTGAACTCAGAGAAGACCATGTGGTCAGGGTAGCCTGCAAAAATCATGCGGATATTCAGCAGGAAATAACGAAGAGGACTTGATTTTATCTATTTGATTGGATTTGATCAGTCTCTCTTCTCACCTTGTCTGTAAATCCTCAAGCTGTCCAGCAGCTTGAAGCCACGGATCTGGGCCCTGAGCAAAGCCACATCTGTCTGCATGAGTCCAGGGTCACAGCTCTCCTCTGGGGACCCTGTTGCCCTCAGAACCTCCGCTCGGGGTAATAGACAGTGGACAAAGTGAACCCTGGATCTGCGCACGGTGTCCAACAGTGCATCCTGCACTCAAAAGAGAAATACATCATGTGTATTTTAAGCCATTTCTTGGAACTAATAGGGAATTTGAACAATTCCATGAAAGAAAGATTTTCAACAACGAGTATTCGGTGTAGGACCCTCTTAAAAACCCACCACTTGGAGTTTAATCTGAAGACAGAGAGACTTCTTTTTGACGGCTGCCATGCCTGTGGTGAAGGTCTTCCTCATGCTGGTGGCCCGACGCATGGCGAGCTGAGAGACACCCTCCAGTCCGGCGATGGAGCCGGTCAAAACCGCAGCACTGCTGGAGCGGCCCACAAACATCCCGCTGATGCTCTTCCTGTTAATATCATCCAGTGAAAACTTGAGTCTGATGAAACTTGAGTCTGTAGGGGTGTGCAATATGTATATTCTACGATAATAACATGTTTATTGTTTTAACTATGTACAAGCTGACCTCGTGTATGTTACTTGCAATAAAAACACTGCTGTTTTCATGAATAATAGCACAATTACAAAATGTTAATCAATAAAAAAAAACGAGTTAACATTTTGATTTAGATTTTACACACAATATTTTAATTATTTTATTTTTACTTTATTTAGTCAAGAAAAATGTGTATCTGAGCAACACATAGTGGTGCTTTATTACAGAATAAATCTGCATGTTGAACAAAACAGTTTAATGAATGATTCAATGACTGAATGAATCTGGCGTTTCAAAGAATCATTTGAATGACTCATTAAGGAAGTGAATTGCAGCCGCCCACTGGCAGTTTTAGTTTCAGATGTAAAATATTTTTTTTATGACATCAATTTAAGGTGGCACATCCCTAATCTGGTGTCCTAACGGTCAGTTTATTTTGTCATTCTTCTTGAATTAAAAAAAACTATGTTTTTTGACTGATTTACTGAAGTGACAAGTGCAAATGGTTTTGGCTAGTTCTTACTTCTGGGAGTTCTGCAGCAGATTGGCTGCGTTCTGGGGGGTGGGATTTAACCTGGCTAGGTTCAGCCATCCGTGTGTGTCATATTCCACCCAATCTGTCCCGTGACTGTGGCCGAGCAGGAAGTGATGTGTGTTTTCACTTTTTAGCACCACTGTGTGACCTGCAGAAAAACAATGCATAAATCTGTCTAGGGCAGAATGTAAGTGTGTGAGTTTGTGCACGTATATGTGTGTGACCTGTGCTCTCTCCCTCTGCAGGGCCATAGTAACTTAAGAGTCGCTGCAGGAGTGTTTCCTCTGACCCTCCCGGCTGCAAAACCTCCTCCTCCATCAGCCAGAACAGACCTCTGGCCTCATCTGTCCGGGACAGAGTACGTACCTGAAACACAGACATTAATATCCACTGTCATAGAAATAGTCATAGAAGTTTATTTTCTACACACACCAATCTCTCTCTTTTGTTCTGATACTTATAAACACGTTTTAAAAAGACTGCAGCATATATAACTATGACCGGCCAACTAATTACTATTAATATAGGATTAAATGTGCCCTACATTGACATTCTGTCATTTCCAGTTTCAGCCTTTAAAAGTGAAGTCTTTTGTAATAAATACAAATGCTTAGATGAAAATAAAATTAAGTAATTATCCACAGAGCTCTTATTAAAATAATCACACAATCACACAACTTTAAACATCAGCAGTTTTGACTTGTTTAGGAAGTGCGTCTCACCAGGGTCTGACTGGAGGACTGATCAACCACAGCTACTGAGCGAGAAGGGCTGGGCTCCAGGTCATCCAATGTGATCTCAATGTTTTCCTATGGAAAGACAGATGCAGTTATTAAAATTAATAAATAATTAATAATTTGCAAAGATGCTAACTGTGAGGGAATTTTTATTCATCAAAAATCCTAAAAAAGTTTCTATAAAAATATTATAGTCCTTGATCATTTTTAGCATCATCTTGTGCCATGAACTTTGTTTTTCAAGATTCTGTGTGAAAAGTAGTTCAAGTTTTGAAAGAGCCATTCTCAACCCCTGCATTACATTTTATTGCATTCTTTTTATAATTAGTTGTAGTAAAATTTCAGAGCAGTAGTGCACTGCTCCACTGTCCCATCCAGTAATGGCAAATTGCTAATAAATACAATAAAAAAGTTAAAATTAAATTAAGTAGTGGTAATCTTAAACAGCTATATAATTTAGTGTTTTAATAAGAATTGTGAGAACGAGCTGTAGATGTTTGGGTGTTGGTTATGGGTGTTTTGTGCACCTCTTTGTAACGCTCCAGTTCCCGTACGAATGTTCGCTCCTGGAACAGGGTCTGCAGACGTTCCTGAGCGTAATTATGGCAGAGCTCCTCAAACGTGGCGCCACGCTGGTTCTTCACCTGACGAGGGTTCTGGAACCCTGGTGTGTCCACAATCAGCAGAGAACAGAGAGAATGCTGACTGGACTTCAGCGCTCTGAAAGTAGAAGAAGATTAGTGGTCGACCGATATATCGGCCGATATTTGGCATTTTTCAAATATCGGCATCGGCCGATAAGTTTTTCTGTTTGACCGATGCGTTCGGGGCTGGACTTTTATTTTGACGGCGCGCCTGAATTTTATTTTGACGGCGCTGAGAACGGCAGCGCCTGAGCACACAGTGCTCACATTCTCCTTGTTTGCTGTCGTCGTTAATAGTTCTGTCTAATATGGATAGAAGTCTGTCTAATAATCAGATAGAACGGTTAAACAAAGGAATTAAAATGTATACAAAAAGTATTATAACGATTGCTTTTATATTATTAGTAATAGAAAGGCAAACATTATAATACTTTCTCGTTTGCCGTCAGCATTCAGCAAATTCGCATTTACATCATTTAAACAAATCTTTGAATGTCTAATGAACATTTAATTTCACAAACCTTGCAAACTTAGTCGAATCCAGTTGCGAGATCTTGTGAAGTGTGCATGTGACCTGCATGATCCCTTTCCAAGATATCGGCATCGGCTGTCAAAAAAACAATATCGGTCGACCACTACAGAAGATATCAGAATGCATCTCTTATTCAATAAATCATGTTGCTCTAGGTAATCACCGGTTACCGATTACCTGTTAATGAGAGAGATAATGAGTGTGAAAAGCTCAGAGTATAAACCAGACGCCATGAACTCCAAACACTCAGCTGCTGTTGCTTTAGACACTGAAACGCACACAAAAACACTTTTTAAGACATAAAACAGAGAAGCATTTATCGCATATTTAAGAATGTTACGAAACAAACATTACCTGAGCTATCCGTATCATCCGTACTCTGTCGGACACTTGAGGAGCGGGGAAGTGTGCCCTTGCCCTGCATTTTAAAGATGCCGGATGACAGCTCTTCCAGTGTGCAGCCCAGGAGATACGCTGCTTTTTGTGCCCACTCGTGCCTGGCAAACTGCTTTCGGCCTGCTGAGGGGTCAGAAAGCCACATTCACAAAAGTAAAGCAGTGTTACCACAAAACATCTGTCACATTATGGTGAACTACAATAGGTAGTCAAGTGTCCAGAGAACAAGGAGAAACTTTCATCTCCCGGATTGATGATCAAAGAGAACAAACATTTTCATTCTGGCGTTCGACATCAGAGTGGAAACAAGCACAAAGGCAGATGAAAGATGAACACACAGTTCTGTTAAGATGCTAAATAAAAAAAAATAATAATAAAACCACCTGCCTTCAGTCTAAAACAGAAAGATAGAGACCTGCATTTACCTGCATCTGTTTCTGTGTTATGATGGGGACAGCATGCAACATCAATATGCAATAAAAAGACATGATTACAATGGTTAAAACACAAACAACAACTGTTATACACAAAGAAACATGATTAGGGGGATAGTCCGCCCCAAAATTACAATTCTGTCATTTACTTCCACTCATGTTCTGAACCTATATGACTTTCTTTCTTTAGTGGAACTTAAAAGAAGATATTTTGAAGAATGTTGGTAACCAAACAGTTTTGGTTTCCATTGTATGGACAAAAAAAAATACAAAGGGATCAATGGGAACTGAAACTGTTTGGTTACCCGCATTCTTCAAAATGTTGTTTTTTGCTGAAAAAAGAAATGCATACAGGTTTGGAATGACATGAGGTGAGTAAATGATGACTGAATATTTGGATGGACAATCCCGTTCAATACTGAAGATAACTGACAAATGTTTTTAGACATCAAACACACACACTAAAGCTTAAACAGCACATAAAGTCTAAACATTTTCTCAGTAACATGACTGGAAAGACTCTAGTGACACTTAGTGGACAGATTTTAAAATACACACTGTGCAGTCAGATATGCTGTATGCTGTATATTACTGTGTCACACATTTAGTGTTGGTTTAGACACTTGAGGAGCCGGTAGCTTTACCTTTGGTGGCCCCAGCGGCACCGAGGTGGTATACGGCCCCTAAGATCAGCCACACGGTTTTCTGTTCTTCAGCAGAGATGCCCAGGACCTTCATGGCAGCCTGTAGCTTAGTGAACTGCTGAGCGGCTTTCTGCTTGTCCTCAGGCTACAGAGCATTTGACATATGATACACTGTTTTCAGATAAAAAAAGATTAAATGTGTGTCTAATGATGGTACATGTGGCTTTTCTTACCTTTGAGTGAGGGAGGAGCCCGAATGCGCTGTTCTCAGCAAAGTGATTAAAATGAAGTTCAGTCCTGAAAGGCATAATATTCTATTAGCTGGTCAACTTTAATCTGTACATGTTTCCTGCTTTGACCTCAATCTGCATACTATATTTGCTATTTAAGCATATATATATATATATATATAATATATGTGACCCTGGAGCACAAAACCAGTCTTATGTCGCTGGGGCATATTTGTAGCAATAGCCAAAAATACATTGTATGGGTCAAAATTATCGATTTTTCTTTTATGCCAAAAATCATTAGGATATTAAGTAAAGATCATGTTCCATAAGGATATTTTGCAAATTTCCTACTGTAAATATATCAAAACTTCATTTTTGATTAGTAATATGCATTGCTAAGAACTTCATTCGGACAACTTTAAAGGCAATTTTATCAATATTTAGATTTTTTTGCACCCTCAGAGTCCAGATTTTCAAACAGTTGTATCTCAGCCAAATATTGTCCTACAAACCATACATCAATGGAATCTCAATTTCGAAAAATTTACACTTGAGACTGGTTTTGTGGTCCAGGGTCACAAATAATAAATAAGTAATAAAAAAGATCTAGCTAAATACATAAAATATTGTTTTAATAATTAAAATAAAAATGGTTAAAATAACAATATATTAATAAATAATAATACCAATATAATATAATAATAATACATATAATAGTATTTTAATAAATAATACATAACAGTACAGTAGTGAATAGAATTTCTCTCCAAATATTATTTTATACACATTTATAATGTAATTTTTTCTCAATATAAATTTCGTCTTTATATATTAAAGCACATAGCCGTCTTTTAAATTATAGAATGAGGGTCCCTTACTCGAGGATGATCATATATGGGGATCCGTGGCACCGGAGCGATTGAAAACCCCTGACCTACATGATATGAACATAACAAACCTGGCTGAGAGCAGTCGCAGGCCCAGATCCAGACTCTCTCCCTTCACCTCCTGCATAGTGACTTTGCGGCTAAGTGGAGTGACGGGAAGCGGATCCTCTGTGCCAAGCGGGTTTAGAAACTCCTCCAGCAACCTCTCGAGAAACTTCCCAGCGTCGCCTTGCTCCGTGCAACTCATTCTGAGTGTGGATTTGCAACCTTTTGTCCAAAGCAACCTGTGATGCAAACTTCAGGTATGAATCTACACAAAAAATAAATGAATAAATAAATAAAATAATAAACACAACCATCTTCACCAGAACCTGTATATTTGTAGCAATAGCCAAAAATACATTGTATGGGTCAAAATTATCGATTTTTCTTTTATGCCAAAAATCATTAGGATATTAAGTAAAGATCATGTTCCATAAGGATATTTTGCAAATTTCCTACTGTAAATATATCAAAACTTCATTTTTGATTAGTAATATGCATTGCTAAGAACTTCATTCGGACAACTTTAAAGGCAATTTTATCAATATTTAGATTTTTTTGCACCCTCAGAGTCCAGATTTTCAAACAGTTGTATCTCAGCCAAATATTGTCCTACAAACCATACATCAATGGAAAGCTTGCTTATTCAGCTTTCAGATGATGCATAAATCTCAATTTCGAAAAATTGACACTTAATACTGGTTTTGTGGTCCAGGGTCAAATATTTGCCAGAATATTACAAAATGGCATGTCAAAGGTGGCTGGATAGATTTATGCAAGACAAATGCATTTAGTTTGCATGCTTTTTAGGTTAATACACTGTAAAAAAAATTATGACCTGTAAGTCAGGTCAACAATGATACAAGATGAAACAAAATTTTTTTAATTCAACTGATCTTCAACTGAACAAGTTTTTAAATTGAGGTAGATATAGATTTTTTTTTTACAGCGTAATAGTCTCTCATTTACTTTAGAGCTGCATCTGCTCCAGCCATCAGATAGTAAAACACATTGAAGCTTGATTCTGCTTCTGGTCGTCTGATCACTCTGAACTTCTCCAGCAACATGGTCTGTATGCAAGACATAAAGCAAATCAGAGATAAATCCCCCAATGTCTTTAGAAATTATGAGTAATTGCCCTCGCTGTACCCTACCTGAACAGAGGCAGAGGCCACCTGTCCTGCCTGGTCGAAGTCAAGAGAGACTATGTGTGAGAAGCGACTGGCGTTCACATTCATAGCTGTACTGCAGTTCCCGAAAGCCTCCAGAACCGTGTAGACTGCCTGCCATTTCTCAGCTGTGGGGAGAAGACAGTTCATAACGTTATATAAAAATAACAATTTATTAAAACAAATTCAATAACATATAAAAAACTTGAATTAAAATTAAAAATAAAGTGAAAATGAACTCTAGGAAAACTGAAAAGGAGAGTGGGTCTATATTGGGTCCTCCTCGTCTTCCTCACCTGAGTACACCTTTCCACTGCCGGCTGCGATGGTGACCAGGTACTGTAGCAGGTGCTGGCAGTTAGTGGTCTTTCCGCTGCCACTCTTGCCCAGCAGCACGATGGTCTGATCCTGACGTGTGGTCAGCAGCTGATGATATGCCGACTGAGCAACAGCGAAAATGTGAGGAGCTGTTTCCTCCCTCCGGCAGCCCTTAAACATCTGCATCACCTGATATAAACAGATTATGTCACTCCATCTCTCTCTGCCATAACTTTGAGGTAATTTTAAGACTTTGTGTGAAGTTCGTACCTTCTCTGAGTACAAGGCAGGGGTGCTGAGAGGATTGATCACCAGAAGATTTGGCCCAGCATAGGTGTGAATGAGGTTTCCACCATAGCGCTGACGAAGGGTGTGAAGCATGCTGGACTCGTTGAGGTACAGAAGAGAGGAGAGATCCTCCACTCGATCATATGATAGAGGATTTGCCTGACAGACAGACAGATGAGAGTAATTAAACAGGTCTCTTGGCTTTGCATAAGTAATGTCACATGTTTGTGACAATGACTCCGCCCACCTTCTCCACATCATCCTCGTCCACTTCCAGTACTGTCCCATCATGCTCCAGTCTGATCTTCACTTTCCCCTCTGGGAGAGAACCCATCTCTGTCTTGAGCTGTGTAGCTATACAAACAAAATGAATATTTATTTACTTAAACTGGACATGAGTATTCGGATCATAACAGAAGTAATGAACTATGACTTCACTAACCCAAAGAGAAGCCATCTTTATGGACAAGCCAGACTTTCTCAGTGTTATACCAGGCCTTCTCTGCAGCAAGCTGCTCCTCCGTCTTCACCTGCAGCAGGAAGTGAGAGAGATTGTCATCACAGAACATGAAAAAAAATACAGGTTTCCAGTCCACGGACCGATTGTGATTCAGTTCAGATTTTCATTCTGTTTAAGATTAATTGTGACAGAGACAGATAGGTGTGACTTTAGAAGTGGGTGCTACAAACAAAGACCGCAGAGCAATCCATATCAGGTTGAAGTCTATACACTAACCAACCAAAGTAGAATTTGAATGGGAAATGTGCTTTGGTTCAAACAGGAGCTCTGAGGTGATAAGATTCCTTCAATGGCACAACGAAACTCTACTAAGCTTACCCATAAGCAAAATTACACACAGGCAATGCAGTAGCCAGACCTTAGACAGACTGGCAGCTTCATGTGCAGCCTGCAGGATAGCCACAGGATCTTCAGCTGCCTTGGCCTGCGAAGGGCCGGGAAAAGCAAGAGAGCAGGAGTCAAAAAGTCATAAATACACAAATCCTCAAAGGACTTAACAGAAATTAACAGGAGAATAAAACACTTCATATGAGAACTGTGAAAGAAAGAAAAAGAAAAAGAAATGGGAGAGGTTAAGGGAGGTGTTTCTGCACCTGATTCCCTTGGGTGGGCATCACTGGAGATCCCTATAGATGGAATCAAAAAGGATCAGTGAAGAGTCTTAAGTCGTCCTGACCAGGATCAGCAGTGTGATTATTATCAAACCACCTGATGCTAACATTGAAACCAATGCAAGACCAAGCCTGACACAATAGTATAACTGCTAACAATTGTTAACACCGATCAAATCTGGAAATAAGCAGTGAGACATAAACGCCAATGATGCAGAATACATTTAACTAACCACATATCTACTTTCAGGCAACACACAACTCTCACAGCTGAACACCATTGTCCTACACAAACATCTTGGCAGTGGTGGGACACACCTGTTGGTTGGCAATAGTGGAAATCTGGGATGGAAGTTTTCCAGCAGGAGCCGCAGAAGGTTTTAACACCTCCTTCACCTTCATAGACACAGCACTTGTCAGTACGACGCAAGCATATGGTCTACAATCATGCCAAAAACTAGTGAGATAGGAGCCACCACATTACAAGTATTCAAGAAGTCTGCAACTGCCATGGTCAGCACTAATGCAATAATAGTCTGATATGTGGTCACGGCTGCAGCCAACAATAATTTTTACCTCAACTTAAAGCCATTTGAAGGGTCAACAGACATGGCGTGCTTTAGAAAATTATCTCAAGAATCAAAAAAGTCACTTCCAGCATGCTGAATTCTTGCAGGCATTTTGCAAGCATCAGCTGCTTAAATTACTGCTTCAATCCACTTCAGAGGGTTAAAGTGAGACAGCAGTCAAAGTCTTTATGCAAGGGTGAGAAAAAGAATTTGACATGAGTTATGGCAAGATATTAGTTCTGCAGTGAGCCTTGCAGAGTTTCACAACATTGGCCTGCTGAGCAAACATGCATTACTAAAGCATTCAGAAACACATGCAGTATGTACCTCTGGCTTTCGTACAGCAATAGACCGTGGTACAGGAATAAAGCCTGCAGGGGGTGCTAATGGGTCAACTTTAGGCTTGGGGATAAATCCTGCCACCGGGGCAAAAGGGTCTCGCTTTGGGGCGGGAACGAATCCCACCGGCGGTGCCAGAGGATCAGGTTTGGGCGTAAGTTGAGTGGAAGGGTTTGATTTAGGAGCTGGTATGAATCCCGCCGGTGGTGCCAGAGGATCAGGTTTAGGTGTAGGTTGAGTAGAAGGATTTGGTTTAGGAGCTGGAATGAAACCAGCAGGTGGAGCCAATGGATCAGGCTTGGCGACTGGAAGGAATCCAGCAGGAGGGGTAAGAGGATTTGGCTTAGAAGGTAAAAAGCCAACAGGAGGGGCAAGAGGGTCAAGTCTAGGAGGTGGACTGATTGCATGTGTGTATGGTTGGGGTTCTTCTGAGGGGGTCTCGCTTTCACCAAGCCTTTCTTTGCTTTCCTCTTGAGGTTCTTTGCGTTCGGCAGCTCTCAAGCGAGAGCGATGCTCTTTAGTCCTTGCACGGCCCATTAGGCTGGTCAACCCAGCAGAGAGGGCATCTCCATCCACAGAGCTGCCAGCTTGCAGTGGACGGCTTGTTTTGGGGACTGAAGTGGCTGTCAAAGGCGTTTCCTCTGACCCTGCTTTGTGTGCCAGGTTCAGTCCTCTCCTCGTCAATGTGTCAGACTCAAAGCTGCCATGTCGTCCGTTCATGGAGTCGCTGCTTCTCTGGTCTACAGTCAGTGGCCGCTCTGGATTCACCGCTGTTGATGGTTCACCCTGACGTCGCTCGGTTGAGCCACTTACTGCTGTCTGAGACTGACTCATACTGTTCTCACTCTCCGACTGTTCACACAACCCAGAACGCACACGTGCAGGTCACCACAAAAGAAAGAAAAAAACCTATGAAATTACACACTAGCAGCAAGAACTAAAGGTAAAAGTTCACATCCCTTGTAACTTAAAAAATAGCACTATTTTGAGGTTCACAATAGCTTCGATATAATTCCACAAGCAACAACCTTCCAGAGTTTCCTGGATTTCCCAAATGATGACAGATGGGTGGCCGTTCTGAATATCAGAGGGTCTTCACACTCTCCAGCCCACCTGCAAGTACTGAAAGTTCATCTGAAAAAGACTCCTGCTTCCACATGGCCAGGCACTTTGCAGTTCTTTTCTCAGCACAGTCAGGCAGGTTAACAGATAAACCCAGTAATTAAGGTCACTGCAGTATAACACTGGCTCACAGCCCTGAAACACAACTCTACAGGATCAACCACAAAATCTTTGGTAGTCTCTCTCTCACACTACACAATTCAGAACCTGGAGTATTGTAAAGACCTCGCAATCACTTCACACTATAAAATAACAAATTAAAGTGCATATTTAGTTATACTATATACTAGGAATGAGCTCTTATGTGGAGACAGACCTTCATGTCTATCCTGAAGGTGATGATACTGGTGCTCTTCCAGCTGTGCACGGCATTCTTTGGGACACTGAAATTGACAGCAGCACTTTGAGAGCGCTGGACAGGCCTCCAGCCCTGTGCCTCCATGATGACTTGCAAACGTCTCACACATTTGCTTCAGACACACACAATCTTAGCTCAGCATCCCTCTCATGCTCCTTCCCTCTCTTTCTTCCTCCAGCTGCCCCTCCCACTACAGCAGTGATTGGAGGACAAAAAGGGCAAGGGTGTGATGTCAACAAGCCCCACCCACTGGAGTACAGCAGCAGTACAGTTCTAAACAAACATCCACATACAGTCACTCTCACCTTATTGTGCAAAAATGATCTTTACACCTGCTAATATTCACATTTGAGCATTTAGGACTCTAGGATAGTTTAGAAAGTTACTTTTACTCACCCTGTTTCCATTCAATTTCATCTACTAAATTTAATCTGGATGAAGTGACTAAACAGATGAACTGCTTTCATACGGTAATTACAAAGTACGAGGTTGGAAGCAAACAGCTGTCCTAAAAGAAAAAGACCACCATTTTCTGAACAAACCCCATCTTTAGCACCTCCTGATGATATACGTGAAGTAAACACACAGGATGTGTTTTAAAGTAAACCACAGCCACAATAACAAATGCAGAGTTCTGGGAGATGTAATCTCTTCTGATCTCAGAACAGACACCCATCTGAAATCCGAGTCATGCAGTAATGCAAACGCTGCTCAAACACTTACATTCGAGCTTTTTGCACCCGGGACATTTTCATCTTTCACCTGAAGGGAGGCAGATAGAGACAGGAAAGTTAAAACAACGATCAGATGCTCTAACCTGAGACATTGTTCTTGATGTGACATCTGACCCTGCTCTCTCTCTCTGTTCTCTCGATATACAGTTTATCCATCTTTCAGACTGAAGATTAACCTCTGTCTTTAGTTACTAAAAACCAGTACAGCTAAACTCTCATATACATACACTAACACTAATTAGAATGTGAGCAAGGGAGGTTCTTCCAGAGAAAAGTAATACTAAGAGAATGCAAAAGATTTGCAAGCGAATTGAATGCAAAGCTACTTGGTGGAATCCAACACTTTTGAGGGAGAACGCAAACGCTTGGCAAGCGAATGCAAAAGCAATGAAATATATTTTTTCCTCCCATGTCATAGTTTTTCCATCACAGTGTCCTCTTAAGGGCTCTGTATGATATTGACCAAACAATCATTTATCTTAATTTGGAGAAAAATCTGGTTCTATGTCACCTGTCCTGAACAGACAATAAATGAATAAACAAACAGCAGAAAACGGTACTTTCCTTTTTCTCCCAAAATGAGAAACGAGATGAGAAGGCCATGATGAAACAGTTCAGGAGAAGAGAGGGAAGGAAAGGGGAGGAGAGGAAGGCTGGTTTGCGGAGAGACAGAATACAGGATCGGTTAAATGCAGACAGTCTTTCCGATTGAAGTTTTGGGGGTACTAGGACCCTGCGGTGAACGGGTAGAATGAATAGCTACAAGAAAAGAAATAAGGATTAACATCTAATCTGTTAAATGGAGTAAACATAAAGCGGGGAGCATTATTTAGGCTTTCAGCATGACAGTTCTAATTTCAATGTGTAATTTTTTGAAAATTATATTGGTCACTCCTTTCTGAATGAATGTGAATGACATGTGGGGCTGTCAATTTCTAAAATGACAATGGAAAGTGGTTCATATGACTCGTGTTATATTCCAAGTCTTCTGAAGACTGAAAATAAAGTTGTTATTTGGAATGACATGAGGGTGAGTAAATGACAGATGAGAGAGCTGGAACTCAAACTTGACTGTAGTATACAGATAAAATAATGTGAATCGAGCTTCACATGAACTGAAAAAACAATGCTGAAAGAGCAGATTTGTAATGCAAAAGCAACGTGTCTGAAAGTGAAAGTGCAATTTAAGGCAACACTGTCATGACACCAGAACATTCACTATAAATAGAGCACATGTGAAGAGGCCACAATGTGAAGTAACCAACACACACACACAG